TTGCTAAACATTTTGTAGACACTTGTTGCTAAACATTTTGTAGACACATGTTGCTAAACATTTTGGGGACACGTGTTCCTGAATATGTTGCTTAACATTTTGTGGACACATTACGGTGAACATTTTGTGGATAAATGTTGCTAAATATTTTGTGAATAGTTGTCGCTAAACATTTTTCCTTAGCCTATGTTCAAACGGGTACCTAATTGGCAATTAAGAACCTTTTCACAAATTTAAGCCTTAATTGTTACCCAATTTATCATACAAAAACTCAAATTTTTGTCCGATTCTCTATGCAACCCTGCTAGGTATGTCTAATTTTGACTTGCAGCTATGTTTATTGAACAAAGAGCAATCAGCTGTTTATTTATGGTTCTCTTTTACAGCTGATATTCCATCAGGGATGGAAAATTGAATTACAAAATTGTACCTAATTTGCGAAAAACTTCACCTAAAAGTAGATATATATACCTAAAAAGTAAATATGTATATCTATATAAAGAAAAATAGGATAAAATTCCCATCGATACCATATCAACTTCTGTACCCACATTAAAAAAATTTTGCCTATGAAAAGAATCTCTTCGAGCAGCGTGAGACAAAAATAGTGATGTAAATTTTCATCTCTACTGCAGTATTGCCGCTTTTATTACATGCCTCGAACAAGCCCTATGTTGTAGAAAAGGTGAATCACTTTCCGCCCAGTTCTTCGATCTGAAATATTTTCCGCCTATCTGGCGAAATCAACTACAGTTAAGTTACTTTGGCCAACCTTCTGTATCATTTGTATGCCCTTTTACAAAAGAGGGAAGCTTTTAGACCAGTTTCCCGCACCCGCATTGAAATGTAAATAAAAATAAAAACTGATTTCTTGAGAAGTTATTTGGCTGTGTTCCAAGTGTACCTAAAATTGTGTGTTTGTACCGATTGTACTTTCAAACTAAATAAAGGTACGATTGTACTAACTTTTCCATCACTGTAGATAACCCAGCCTGTTAAAGCTGAAACAGACGGCAGCGTTGATGCTTATTAACTCGGACTTAATCCGGATCAGCGCTGCCGTCTGTTTATGCTTTTAGGCTACTATCGTTTAGTTATGCGCGCCTGGTACAATAGGGATGGTTGCAAAAATCAGAAATGCCCTGCAGGGTTGCCAACACTTGCCAACACTTTGAGGATTAAATTTTAAAAACTTGCACGTTAATGAAATAAAATTTAACACATTTTTAAATTTTTGTAGCGACTACTTACGCTTATTATATTTTAATAAAACGCCGGCGGACATCTGGTGTCGCAAATATCTGGAACAATTGCATGCGGGTGATGAGAGGTGAAATAGCAAGAGGGCAATATGAAAAGGTGTATTATACAAACTTTTTTTTAAATGTTTTTTTGCAGATTTCAGCTGGTTAAGGTACTTTCTGAAGCTGATACTGAATGGACCGGGCTACGCGGACGCATTTGTAAAGAGCTACTCGCCCCACTATTAACGAAAAATACGCCAGAATATGCTAGTTTTGCTACGATATGTGGGCCCAGTGGATTCAGTCAAGCGGCAGAGGACTTGTTAAGAGAACTGCAATTTGATTTGGCAAATTTACACATCTTTCAGGGATAAAATGCTTTCACAAGTGCAAGTATATAGTCTTTTAGTTAAATAGTAGACGTTCATTTATGACTTTGTAGCATAATGGTATTGGTATTAGTAAATTTTAACAATTTACATGTATGTACATTATAAAAATAGACAACATTTAAGATTTTTTAGATATATTAATGTCTCTATAAACAACAACAATGTACTAATGAAATCGAAAGAAGTTTTTTCTTATTTAGTTCATTTTACATGCACAGAAATAATAATTTTTCCTGTTTTAAAAATATCCATTCTTGTTGCTTTTTATTTTTCAGTAGACTTTCATATACAATTTTCTCCTTCCTCTTCATTATCGTTAAATCATTATGTTTAGGTAAATAATTTAATAAATTTTAACAAATTACTAGAAGTAGCAAAAACATGCTACAACTACATCCCACACCACTTCTAGTAGAATATAGGGGAATAGTAGACAGTGTTGAGTTATCGTACGAGCGACTTTACTTAGCTTTCGCGTGCGTTATATACATACTTAAAATTTAAATATCAAGTAAAAAATAAATGGATATTATTAAGTATGCAATGCAAAATACATTTAGAAGTGTTGCGAGTGTGTATATGCTGTTTGGGAGCACATCATTGTTATTTTCATTTAATAAATAAAAAGTTTTTTAAGTAGAGGGGAGAGGCGTTTACTGGCTGCTTTAATAGCGTCTATAAATTTAAATTCGGCTCGTTTGAAACTTTTAACGAAACAAAGGAGCACAAAACGTTTTACCTATTTAGGAATAACTTAAAATGACATTTAAAAACAAATGTACGTGTCTCCATCCATAGCCAACTTGTGGCAATCGTCGTGCTGATGGTCCAAGCGAATACAGGTTTTATTTTATGTTGGTTTTAATAGGAGCGTATTGCTGGAGGCACAGTTTCTACAGTATCGTCCAGAGTCTTATCAATGACTTCACGGTATTTGATTGTGACGTTGCCTGCATCACCGCTCACCCATGTCAATGTGTGCTTACGCCAATGCTGATCCAAAGGTATTTTCGGTTGGCCTTCAAGTGGCTTGCTGTAGTCCTGTAAAAGAGAAAAACAAATTCATCATTTGCATTTAAAATATCTCCGGGGGGGAAAACTGGCTGGCAAACACTTACATATTCATCAATACGTGTCTTGTAATCCTCACGCGCATGTGCACCTCGTGATTCTTTGCGATTCTCAGCAGCCACAATGGTCATTTGAGCATTGGCTAACAAATTTTGCAATTCAAGCGTTTCAGCCAAGTCAGAGTTCCACACATTCGATCTAAGAAAAAAACACAAAAAAGTGACTCGTTTTTGCAACAAATCATATAATCGTGCTTACTTGTCAACGACTTTGATATCTTGGAATTCCTTGTAGATATCCTTCATCTTCTCAACGCCCTTCTGCAGTATGGGACCATCACGGAATACGGCGGCATGTCCTTGCATTGTCTTTTGCATTTTCAATCGCAAATCTGCGGTGGTGATTTTACCATTGTTATGTTTGATCTTATCCATATTAGCAACTGATTCCTCCCCAGCATTCTGTGAAATAAAATGCAAAATATATAAACGCACGATTTAGTGATGGGTCTCTGTCACTCACATCTTTCACACTAGGTGCTGGCACACCAGGTTTGTTCTCTTCGGCAATTGTCAACGCACAGGCACGTCCGAAGACCACCAAATCCAGCAACGAGTTAGCGCCCAGCCGGTTAGCACCATGCACCGATGAACTGGCAGCCTCACCGCAAGCATACAAGCCGGGAACAACTATATCGCAGCCTTTTTCATCGATAGTCAGCACCTGTCCCCTATAATTGGTTGGGATGCCGCCCATATTGTAGTGCACAGTCGGCAGAACTGGGATTGGCTCACGTGTCACATCGACGCCGGCGAAGATCATTGCAGTTTCGGAGATACCAGGCAGACGTTGAGCCAATTGGTCTGGTGGCAAGTGATGCAATTGCAAATGAACGTGATCCTTTTCGGGTCCCACACCGCGTCCTTCCATAATTTCAATGGTCATTGAACGTGAAACAACATCGCGTGAGGCCAGATCCTTGGCAACCGGCGCATAACGTTCCATGAAGCGTTCACCCTTTGAGTTCACCAAGTAGCCACCTTCACCACGGCAACCTTCAGTCATTAGGCATCCAGCACCGTAGATACCAGTTGGGTGGAACTGTACGAATTCCAAGTCCTGCAAAGGCAGTCCTTGGCGTGCCACCATCGCGTTGCCATCACCTGTGCAGGTATGCGCGGAGGTGCATGAGAAGAAAGCACGTCCATATCCGCCGGTGCTAATGACAGTATTGTGTGCGCGGAAACGGTGCAGTGTGCCATCTTCCAGATTCAGTGCCAACACACCTTTGCACTTGCCATCCTCGAATATCAAATCCAGCGCGAAATATTCAATGAAGTAGTTGCAATCATAACTCAACGACTGACCATAGAGTGTATGCAGTAGCGAGTGACCTGTACGATCTGCCACTGCGCAGCAACGATGCGCTTGGCCGCCCTTGCCGAATTTTAAACTTTGACCACCGAAAGCACGCTGATAGATTTTACCTTCGGGTGTGCGCGAGAAAGGCATACCATAGTTCTCCAACTCAATGACGGCTTTTGGCGCTTCGCGGGTCATGTAGTGAATGGCATCTTGATCGCCCAACCAATCGGAACCCTTTATCGTATCGTACATGTGCCATTTCCAATCGTCCTCCTCCATGTTGCCGAGCGCGGCATTGATGCCACCCTGTGCGGCGATAGTGTGCGAACGGGTGGGAAATAACTTGGAGATGACAGCTGTTTTGAAACCTTCGGCGACCAAACCGAAAGCGGCTCGCAAACCAGCACCACCTGCTCCAACAACAATCGCATCGTATGAGTGGTCGACGATGGGGTACTCATTTGAGATGGCGTCGGTGCGAACCTTGGCATCATTTTTACCATGGGTTATATGCAGTTCTCGCTGTGACACAACAGATGCAGTGCGTAGCTACAAATATACGGTACATTAGTGAAACTTTTGTGTAAAAGGATTTTTATTGAAAATCATTTAAAAGAGCCCAGTGGGGAAATTATTTGATATAAACAAATATTTCTTTGCATGGAGCTGCTCTAGTAAATGATAATTTAGCAAAAGTCTCACACTATGATATTGGGAACCATTTTTTATTTTTTTCGTTGGAAATACCCCTGTTCCTTTCTTTTCAACTCCTATAAATACAAAAGCGAGTTGTTTGCTCATGATGACATCAATCAAAGCAAAGTTAAGCATTTGCACTAGCCAACCCGCTTTCCCTCCGAACCGGTTTTTATTTCATCTTGACAATTTGATTTAAGTATCGACATACATATGTACTTATAAATATGTACTATACAGTCTAAGTGATTACGAAAAGAATTAAATAGAAGGATTCTACCGCACGTGTAATATTGTGCATATGCATATACGGGTGCACCATAAAGTAGTTTCATTTCAAAAATAAATAAATTAAGAAAAATCCATTTTTTCCGCAGTTTATTGGTTTATTCGAAATAGCAAATGGTCTCGGTCGAACTACATAAAACATCGTTTGGGTCATGGGCTGCGTGGCAGCCTGCTGAAACCAAAGATCGCCCAACTCCAATCAAAATATCAATTTAAAGAAAGCTCTAGACTGTACTCAAGAAAACACCATAAAAATACTTAAAGATGCTCTAAGTAAACATAACTTACTTAACGAAGTTTAAAATAACTTTCCTTGAGGCAATATGGCCTAGTAGCCAGCCTCACCTCAAAAATATATTTTATAAATTAATTTATAAAACATAGAATAAATAAATTAATTAATTAATGTTAAAATTGAGTTACAGTGTGACCGCTTGTTTAACTAGTACCTTTAAGAAAACTCACATACCGTTACGGCTTTTTCAATCCTTACAAGGTGTTACGAACTGTAAAAATTAAACTCATTGGGACGCGATTTCAGGCAAGCATATGAGTATAGGGTCGGCCTCTACCTACAACTGAATAGGATACAATTCCTGATCCGACTAAATTGCAAAATTGATCATTAATAAATATTCGAGTCTACGTTAAAAAAACAGCCATTAATAGTCATTAAATTCATTTCTACATGGCATTTTTTGAATGCCTCTAATTTTTTGTCATTTTAATGCCTAGTGGAAATTCGGCATAACTTCCACAGTTTTTTTCTAATATTTCAACTAAATTTGATTCTTTAATTTGAAAAGTTTTGCTTTACTTTATATAGCTCAACACTGGCGTTTATGTAACTGCAATTGGTGGCAGAAAACAATGCACGAAACGAAAGTCGCAAACAAAAAAAAAAATGTTAGAAAGGAACAAGCGTCATTAAATAACCATAAGTTTTAAACGAACGTCAATTATCGTAAATATTCATCGCATGACAACTTTAATTGCATTTTAGTTGACTTATAGCCAACCGCATATCACGGCAAAAATTTAACGGATGGAATAGATGAGAAATAAATTTATACAGTCAAGTCTAAAAGGGATGAACCACGTTCCCACGACGGTCGGGTCTACGTAACCGGAACGACCCACATTTATATCTGGCCAAGGACTGTCACTCTAGCAACACTCCTCAAAAACAATTTTGGGAATTTGTATGCTATTACAACGACAGGGATGAACTTCAATTTTAGATATTAAGGATAGAAGAATATTTGTCGTCATTTTTACTATGGGAGCGTATATTAACTGTAAACTTTAAAGCCGGTTTTCTCGTGTTTTTTTTTTTTTTTGATTATGACACTCTTGCAGCAAATGAGCGATATGTATGTACGTATGTATTTTAAATATGCAATATAAAATCAGGTACAAAATCGTATATTGCAGCGGAAACGTGCGAAAGCTTTCATTTGAAACAATCACCTCTATCATTAGTTTCATTTTCGCCGAACCGGTTAACTAGATGATAAATTTTCGGGTATTTTTTAAGCAAACAAGTAATTTTTAGCAAAAAAAAACCGACTTAAAAAAAATATATATATATCTATATATTTCATGATCCAATGATCGGATCTAAACCAAATTAGTATGGGAGAGAAGGTTATCAATTCGTCAGAATATTTTTTATTTCTTTTTTTTTATATGTATGTTACCGCCTAACTTTGGACCACGTCAACCGATTTCGAATTTCTTTTTCTATCGGAAAGGCAGTGTCTCATAGGTGGTCCCATACTAATTTAGTTTAGAGCCGATCATTGGATCATGAAGAAATTAACGGTACCCCTAAATTTTTATAGGCGAACTAAAGTCGGTTGTGTTTTTTGCTTAAAAATTACTTGTTTTTTTTTTTTACGGAAAGTCAGACCGTACCAAAGTGCGATGCACATGAAATGGAAATATTTTGCATAATTAAGAGCTTCGCTAGACTGAAAATACCAAAACAATGGAAATAAAATAAAAACATTACCCCACTTCACTTTAAAACATGCGCTGCTAATCAGTTCTATGAACGTATAAAAATCGAAATAAATCGCCGATACAGCTGTTTAAGTATGAATTTTTTACACATGTATGTACATTAGGGTGGTCCAAAATAAGTAAAGTCGGAAATTTTATGCTCTCATCTCCTAGGATTGTTCTATTTAAAAAAAAAATACGCCCCTATTTTTTTCAATCAAAAAATACTTATAGGTCGGCCAAAGCACGGCTTCGGAGCAAGAGATTTTTTTATCGCTCCGCTCTAGCTCCGCTTCAGTATTTTATTTCGCACTGAACTCCGCTCCCGCTCCCAATAAAATTTTTATTTTTTTTTTAATTACTTATCAAACCCTAACCACCAAAAAAAAATATAACCGAATTTTTTATTATTTTTATTTTTTTTTGATGCAGATATGCATCTATGTACATACTCTGGAAGCACTTCTGTATAAAAAAAAAGGCTTGATATACAAATGCATGTACTTTAATGGATTGACATACATATCGTCGTTTAAAGTGCAAAACCGCGTATGTGAAGTTGTAGAAATTATTTTCTAGAGCGTAAAAACACTCATATTTCAAAATGGTTCTCTTTTTTTATGAATCAATCGCATTTCTGGCCAGTATGGGTGCATTCCAAAACGTCAAAATACAAAGCATCCGTCTCTTTTATTTCTAAACCGCACAAGAAGAAAAAGTCTAACTTGCGCAACCTAGTTGAAAACTAGCATCTAACCGTGGTTGCGCACATTCGGCGCTACGAGCTGCTGAAATTTAGAAATAAAAAATACTGATGATGATGAATGGATAAGGATTGAGCCAAGAGCTTCTGTGAGCAAATCCAATTTTTGGCAGCCAATTTCAGTTACGCGGTTTTGCAGAATGACGATACGAGGTTTTGTACTAACGACGATATGTAAATACATATGTATATATGATCCCAATATCTTTTGTCTTGTAAATAAAATGACAGAATACTTTGACGATCCGTTTTCCCACTAACATGTGCGACAGAAACGTATGTACAGACAAGAACCAAAAATTGTTTTGAAACGGATAGGTTTTTTGGCTGTTACGAAACTCGTCTTATTGAATTTTTCGTTCAATACGCTTTCCTTCCGCACTTCACAGATGCTTTTTCATGGTTTAAAAAAAAATTAAGTAAGGCAGCACCTGAGGGCACTCGAGCCCGGCACCTTCTGAAAGCTAACAAATACTACCACGCTCCACTGCAGCCACTGCCGACTACGTATAAATGTTTGTTTGTTCAGCTTGAACAAGTAAAATACAATTATTGCTTTCAAATGACATCATCACTTTCGAACATTTTCTGGATCCGAAAATGAATGAAAATGTAAGTACTATTTTCGTTCGTTTTCGCATACTTAAAATTGTACAGACCGCACGTCGACAAAATTAACGTATGCTATTTGGGGAGTCATTGTTTTTTCATCGCTGCTGGGTTTTGTGTAATGAACAGTATTTTAAAGTAAAAAAATAATACGAATTTATTTTACTCGGTTGTTTTCAGGGGTAAAAATAAAAAAATAAAATTAAGTAAACTGAATTTTCTTTAAGGAGCTAAGGAGCTAATGCATTTTTTTTAGCTCGTTGCTCCAGCTCCGCTACAGCCAAAATCCTTTGTCTCATAGCTCCGCCGCGAAGGCCTAGCTCAAAGCGCGTAAAGTTTTCCATTTAGTTTATATGAAAAAAAAAAACACTTTTTGCACAAATGGTATGAAATTCTAAAAAATCAATTTTTTTCGATCGAAAAATTCTCTATTTTTATTTATCTCTCTATTGCATTTGTTGGGGGTTTTTGGCGGACCTATAAGATATAGTCACTATGAAAAAATGGTTAAATAAATTATTGGGTATTATTATTGGGAATCTCCTTAAGAGAGAAAGAGAGTTTCCGATTTGATTTCCAAGAATTCTATACCATTTCTACGAAAACTTGTTTTTTTCCATATAAAATACATGGAAAACTTTGAGCGCTTTGAACGACCTCTAAATATTTTTTGATTTCAAAATAAAAAATAGGGGTATATTTTTCGGTATATAACAATCCTAGGGGTGAGAGCATTCAATTTCCGGGTTACTTTTTCACGTGCATTTATGGGTCACCCTAATGTGCATGCATCTGCGTACATACAAATGAAAGCTATTTCAATAAAGTCGACTAGAAGAATGAATTCGATTCCGATCCAGATACGGACACTTAAAATAGTTTGACTTTGCGCTTTAGGTATTGAAGCCAGATGCTATTTATTGCCGATTGTAAGCATAAGGGCGATCACCGATCTAACTCGTTCCAAATTGTTTCATTTTAAAAATGTTTTAGAGATGTCGGGCCATCATAAGAATACAGATTTATAGAAAAACTAAGCAACACATATTTTTAATATCTTTTAATTTAAATGCATATACATATATACATATCGACGCCTCCAAAACATACTATGCTAAGTCTGACTAATGGCCCTATTTTGTATGGCGACTGATAGCCGATGGACAACCAATTCGCATTACATATGGCAACTGGTTACTGACTGTCGGCTACTGAGTCTAATCGCGCGATTTTATGTTTCCCGCTTATGATGATTTTGTTATTTGTTTACATAAATTGTTAAATACATTTGAGCAAAGTTGCCAATTACTTCGAAATGTACATGTTAAAAAAGTAAATTCGGACATTAGGGCACACAAGCGGTGGGTTTTGGTTAGTTTTTCCTTTGGACACAAAACTTGCAAGGAGAGAGCACAATTTTGACATTCCATTTAGAGAGGAAGCTACAAATTCGTGATGGGGAAAATTTTTGCCATCAAGAATTTGCAAGCAGAACGATTCCATTTTTGTCAACAATAATTTGAATAAACAAGTTCGTTAAATTTTAAAATGTACAATCTTGTTACGTTTTACCAATGAACGAAGGTTGTAAACATTTGTTTACATAAACATATGTCCCGTTTTTTTTCTACTTGAAAAAAAAAAAAATATATATGTATATATATATATATATTATGTTCAAAATGCAACTGTGGACGCCAGCTGCAGTGATGCTTGCAAATTTCGCCCTGAACTTTATAAAGTTCTCTCTTTGGGAGAGTAAGATCTCTTATACTCTGAATTTTGTTACTGGCTAAACTGGCTAATTCTTACTGGCTTTTCGAAACGAACAGAACCATTAGTTGTGTGTTCGTATTCTCCAGCAAAAAATATCCAGTAACTTGCCAGTAACCAAATTTCGGAGAGTAAGCCAATATTTAGTCCCAATGAGAGAAATATGCAAGAAAGTACGAAAATGCAAAACCTGCAAGAAGTTGCAAGTTTTATGAACAGCTGATTAATTTACTATTTTCCGACGCAATTTTCTAAGAAAAATTGTATTTCTCTTCTTAATATATATTTAAATAGGTTTATTTGGTCAATTGCAACTTTAAAAGCACCACAAACAATTTGGTAATGTGAATTGCATTAAGCATCATGCCATCAGCAGTGTAAATCCAGTAAAAATTGCAAGTGCAGCTGCTGAATTAAGGGAGCAGCTTTATAAGAACTGCTCCAAAAGGCCTTCTGAAATGCGCCCTACAAAAGCCCTTCAGAAAGCCTTGATATGAGTAGCGAAAGCAGAAGGCTCTCAATTTGTGCCCCTCCATACAAAAGAAAGGAGAAAGAAATGACTCACGAAGGACTTTTGGAAGGGCTTTTAGCTTCTGTAATTTTCTACTAGGTATACATAGGTATGTATGTACATATGCATTTCTCATACACCGAAAGTATATGTGACTTTAAGCAAGTCATTTTAAAACGATTTGTTTGTTTTATGGGGTTGTCTATTAAGTGACGCATCGCGGTTTTAATTAATTGCTTACAAACCGCAAGCCAAGCATTTGTTAATAGAAGCATATAAAATTAATGTGTGAGGTATTGATTGCAATTACATATTATTATGTATGTATTTAAGAGCCACCGGCGTCTGGCTGCCAACTATTCGTACAACAGGGCAATTATGTATATTCATACAAAAGTTTGTACATATGTGTAACATTGATAAAGGATTTAAGACACATGTACATACATACATATGTGTGTCTCCCGCTATTGCATTTGAAAATTACATAATGGAAAAACAATAAATAAAAATATAAAATCTTCCACGAATAATTTGTCATCGCATAGAGATTAGAAGATTTAATCGTGCATGCTTAGCGACGAGCTGTGTTACTTAAGTAATGAGGAATTCACAGGTTCAAAATTAAATTTGAAAATCATACATATAAGCGAGCGTGACGAGTCCCACGATAGTCGGGTCTACGTTACCGGAACGACCCAGATATTATATTTGGTCAAGGACTGTCACTTCAGCAACACTCCCCAAAAACTCTTTAGGGAGCTTGTATACTGCTACAACAAAAACCACAAACAAACAACAACAACAACAACAAGAAAGAACCAGGAATAAGATAAGAAACAGCGCGAGTATCACAGAGCGTCTTAATATAGCGTAGCGACTATTTCGTGGTCTTCGAGGTAAAGTTCTAGATTGTCTAACGCTTGAGAAAGATTTGGTCACATCTTAATCAACGAAAATAACAATTATCTTCTATAATTGCACCCTAAGTGGTAGTTATCAAAACAAAATGTGTGCATACCTACACATCTACATACATATGTAGAAGCAGCAACGTATTGGAACGCGGTGCGAGGAGTAAATAAACGAGCCCTCCTAGCGATTTTACCCACATAATAAAGGTCATGTCACTGTCGTATTTTGTAAAAATTAAGTTTTTGAAATTTATTTTCGCATATGTATATCGCTTTGTGGGCGAGTCAAATAAAAAGAAATGAGCTAAGGAGTCCAGATATCTTACTGGTGATTAAATTTCTTTGAGATAAAGGAAACACCGTCGGCTCAATTATAAACACACGCCCATAGGCACTTCAAATAATTACGAAAAATGATAAGATATATGCATAACGTCGTTTAAAGTACAAAACTACTTATCACGATAATGCAAACCCGCGGTTGTAAGGTCACCAAGATTTTACAGCAGACAGTAAAAATATATGCTACTCTTGGCCTGCGGTATTGCAACTGTGCTGTTATTTTGCAGTGCTTAGTCTAATATTGATATTTTGGTATGAATAGATAAGGCTTTAGGCCTGGAGGTTCGTATAAGAAAATACAATTTTTGGCACAAATGTCAGTTACGCCGTTTTGCAAAACGAAGAAAAGCAGTTTTGCACTTTAAACGACGATATATATGTATGTATGTATGGACATATGTATGTAAGTAAATATATGCACATACATACATATATTTAATGCAAAATATAAATATAAATAGCCAAATTCCTGCGCACATACCTAGATGCCTATCGGCATTTCTGCTTGTTGCACCTACATATCGTCGTTTGAAGTACAAAACCGCGTATCGTCGTTCTGCAAAACCGCGTAACTGCCATTTTTTGCCAAAAATTTGATTTGCTCACCGAAGCTCTTGGCTCAACCTTATCCATTCGTCCTGAAATATACTAGCCAAAAATGCGATGGCCTTATAAAATAAATGTGAATGTTTTTACTCTTTCCAAATTAATTTATGCAACCTCATTATCTTGATACGCGGTTTTGTACTTTAAACGATGATATGTAAAAGTTTATCAAAATATTAATTGTGCTCAAAGCTTCGCGTCATAGCCGCCATGCATATGACTTACATATAAAATGCTTCCACAAACAGCAAAAAACCGATGAATTCAGCTCGCCGTATTATTTTTCATTTGCCATTTTAAAAATCACACATAAAATATAAATTTATTGAAAGCAAAGTTAAATAATTGCGCATAAAAAAGGTTACATAACAAACTTCTGACACCGTCTGGTTTTTCATACGTTGGTCACTGTCGCTACGTTGCCGTTGCCGTCAACACCGCTCACTCCACTCCGCATTCTTTGGTATATAAAAAAAAACTTGCGAATAGGTATATGCGGTCTTTGGTGCTATCGTGGTGGTATTTTCCATGGGTTAGATGGGCCCTACTTGGCGTAATGCAGCCAAATTTGTTTGCCACAATTAACGTAATATAAACGAATTTCACAACTCGGATGCGAATGCAACAAATGATTGTATTATGCATTGCATATCTTGCGCCCAAACCCCTCCTAAAATATATCACATACCCATCACCAAACACTCGCCTCCCGCAATGACTGAACTTTGCGAAAAATGATGATTGTGTAACGCCGTGAATATAGAAGTATTTGCAGAAAATCACGCAAATCTTACACCTACTAAAGTTATTACCAAAAAAAAATTCACTTCTATCGCCATTGCATGACACTAATTTTGTTTAGTTAATTCACAAGCCATTCCCACGCTGCAATTTACCTACCATGGTCGCTGCATTCTTGGCCAAAATCGATGGTACACGCATCATGCTCGCCATTTTAATGGGATGTAGCAGGTCTCAGTGGTTTCCTTTGAAGCAATAATATTTTCGTGTTTCACTGCGCCTATTTCGAAATTAAACGAATTGGTTATTAATTGTTTTCCAAATATATTTTATCCAATTTTAACTATTTAAACTCGCCCTAAGTTATTTACTTGTCAACTCAATGAAACTTCTCGCGCTCGCACCGACTAACTGAAGGGAAGAAGCTGCTCCAATGGGGAAAACAAAAACAATTGCGAAAATGGTGTTGCCATACGACACAGAGTGCCACTTTTTACTTTACAAATGAATAAATTAAAAAAGGATGCAATGTCAATAAAAATGGAATAATAATGAACGAAAAATTATAAAAATAAAAAGTTACACGCATATATTTTCCTTTTTTTTTGCATTTTGGGGCTGCATTGCAAACACAAAGCTGTTGGTACAGGGAAACACATGGGAATATAAATTTTTTGTCAACACTGGGTGCACCAACGCACGATTTCAGAAATCTGTTGGCAATAAAATATAATAAAACAAGAATCTGGCACATACTTATGATTTTCTAGATAATAACAAATCGTAAGAAATAGAGGTAGTGTTCTTTGATCAAGGCAAAAATTACCTGTTTTATTTTAAAGCATTCTTTCATCTATTGTGAAACTTTACGAATACAAGCCGCCCTGCATTTTTAACGGAAGTAATTTATCAAACAGGAACTACAACCTTCCAATTTTCACATCAAAATTATGAAATAAACATCGAAATAGTTTATTTTAAAACTTCAAAAACTAGCAAATTTGAAAAGCCATACAAAAAAAATACGCACATTCGGAGTGTAATTTAATTTATATTTACACTTGAAAATATGAGTTTATTTAAGATTTTGCCATTATCTTTAACAAAACGACCCAAAAGAATAGTAAGTACAAAGCCGTGCCGTTATTATATAAAGTTTTTCTATGAAAATAACATTAATATTAATAATTTGCGTTAACAATTTTAGTGGACATCCTTATCTACAACACATTATAGTTTCCGTTCAATCAGTTGTACTAACAAACCACACTCCGAAGCCAAAGTCTGTGAAGGAATTTCAAAAACATATCCCGTTGTAGATCATGCATTTGATGTAGTTATTGTTGGAGCCGGCGGTGCCGCACTACGAGCTGCATTCGGCTTATTGGAATTGGGTTTCAAAACAGCAGTTGTTACTAAAATCTTTCCAACACGTTCGCACACCATCGCCGCGCAGGGTGGAGTAAATGCGGCGCTAGGCAATCAAGGTCTTGACGATTGGCGATTTCATTTTTACGATACAGTCAAAGGATCAGATTGGTTGGGCGATCAGGATGCAGCACATTATATGACACGCGAGGCACCACGTGCCATTTTAGAGCTTGAAAATTATGGATTGCCTTTTTCACGTACACCAGACGGGAAGATATATCAGCGACCATTTGGTGGACATACTGTGAATTATGGCAAGGGAATGGCTCGACGTGCATGTGCATGCGCCGATCGCATTGGACATGCCCTTCTGCATACGCTTTATGGTCAATCACTTGCGTACGATATTCACTATTTCATAGAGTTCTATGTATTGGACCTTATATTTGAGAACTTAGCATGTTGTGGTGTTATGGCAATTTGCTTGGAGGATGGGACTTTACACCGTTTTCGCGCGCTTAACACCATAATTGCTACCGGTGGCTACGGACGCACCTTTTTTTCATGCACTTCCGCACACACCAGCACGGGGGATGGCAATGCAATGGTCGCACGACAAGGTTTACCACTGCAAGATATGGAATTCGTTCAATTTCATCCGACTGGTATGTATGGTCCTGGTGTACTTGTTACAGAAGGTTGTAGGGGTGAAGGTGGATACTTGGTGAACTCGAAGGGTGAACGTTTCATGGAAAAATATGCACCGAAAGCAAAAGATTTAGCACCGCGTGATATGGTTGCCCGTTCAATGACCCTGGAAATTATGGAAGGTCGAGGTGTGGGACCTGAAAAAGACCATATTCTTTTACAGTTACACCATTTGCCGAGTGAGAAAATCCTTACACGATTGCCGGGTATCGTAGAAACGGTTCGGATTTTCACCGGCATAGATGTGACAAAGGAACCAATACCGGTTATACCAACTGCGCATTACAATATGGGCGGAATACCAACAAACTATAGGGGACAAGTATTAACTATCGATACAAATGGGTGCGATATTCCGGTTGCTGGATTATATGCGTGCGGTGAAGTTTCCTGCAATGTTCATGGTGCAAATCGTTTGGGTGCAAATTCACTTTTGGATCTGGTGATTTGGGGGCGATCCTGTGCTTTACATATTGCAGAGAATTGTGTGCCCGGCTGTCCAGCTCCAACTTTGAAGGATGTACGGCTATTCTCTTAACTCGATTGGTCAATTATGGATTCCCTTGATTTTTTCAGAACGCTGGCGAAATGTCTGTAGCAAATATTGATAAACTTCTTCATGCGAATGGTAGTATCACCACTGCATCATTACGTTTGCAAATGCAGAAAGCTATGCATCACCACGCTGGTGTTTTTCGTATCGGACCCAATCTTCAAGAGGGAGTACAAAAAATGATTAATATATATAACGAATTTAAAAATATACGCGTGGTTGATAGGTCTTTAATTTGGAATTCGGACCTCATCGAAACATTAGAGTTGCAAAATTTACTTGTGAATGCTATGTGCACCATGGTGGCTGCTGAAAATCGCAAAGAATCGCGTGGCTCTCATATGCGTGAAGATTTTAAACAGCGTATTGATGAATATGTATGTATGAAGAGTATATTAATAAAAAATAAAACTATGCATATGCGTCTGAAATTAATCCTTTTACCTCTGTAACAGGACTACAGCAAGCCCATAGATTCCCAGCAAAAGAGCCCAATTGAAAAACATTGGCGAAAACACACGCTAACATGGATTTGCAGTGAAACTGGCGAAGTAAGAATTAAATATCGCCCCGTCATCGACACTCCTTTGGACAGCAGCGTAGAGCATGTGCCGCCTGCTGTGCGCGTATACTGATCGTTGGATTTTGGACTATTTATACATACATATTTTAATCATTGGTTTACAACAAAACTGTTTTTACCTGTCAACTTTCTTTCAATAGGGTTCTCTTTATAATACTTATACGTTTTTGTTTTAACTATAAAATAATATACATACGATTCAACTGAGAAAACAATTAATAATGGCATGAACAAATTTCCAAAGAAGGTTTTAGAAGAACAAAGGAAGTCTGATACATATATCAAAACTGTATGAAATAACTATAGCGCCAGAAATATACGAAATCAAATATTTATTAGATACACATACATATGGATGTTTTATCCATCGTACAAAAACTAAACACTTCCTACATAAAAGACGGATGTTACGATACCTTAAATGCAATAAAATCGGAATAAAATTTACAGTCCAGTCGGAATAAAATTTATGTGCTTGTCGGTGGCGTCACCTTTTTGCCACAGCGCTTAGCATACTCTTCTTCAGTTAAATCAGACAAATGATTTGTAGCCATCTTCCAAGTAACCTCGCCATTCTCATATTTCTTATTGTGCTCCTCCACTGTCTGCTTAGATTTTACAAAGCGCTCACGACGCATATTATCCTCTTCAGCGTCAGTGTAAACTTTATTGAACTTGGACTAAAAAATTTATTTAGCTAAAATTTACTACTGGTCTCTTAGCATAACTACCTTGTACTCCTCCCATTCTTGATCCGAAACGAGCGACATTTTTATTTATTTGTGCAGTTAGTTCCAACGTTGAAGATTGATCTGCAGCTATTTCTTTGCGTTGTTATTTAAATAAACTCGCAGACTCTACTGATAATATGTGGTGAAATGACTCACTTGTATTTATTTATATTATTGTTTCAACTTGCGTTTCGATTTTAGACAAAGGCAGAAAAAAGCATTTAGCACAATGAAATCAAAATAAAAACACAAAGTCAACAAAATGACGCGATAGCAAAAGAAACAATTAACATATCAGCTGTTTACCAAGGACAACAGCAAAGCAAAAGGGTGCTGCCACATATCAAATATTAGGTTCCGTCCCGTGCGCAACGCGGGATTTCGCGGGTTCCCAAAACAGCCCAGAAATCATTCCCGCCCTCAGTGAATAAAAAAAAAATATAGTATGACGTTAGCGAATGGGTGGATGATGTCAAATCGACGAAGAGAGGGTTAGCGGTCCGCGAATGGTGCCACCTTCATTTTCTGCATCGTGTATCACGAGTACTTTCATCGGAATATGCATACCGATACCGTATGCGTATCGTAACACCCGTTCATGGATCGAAAACCAGACGAAAGAAGACTACGTGATACCGTCAGTCGTATACACTGAATGGGGTAAAGAGTCTACGCATCGGCGACCAAAATAAAAAAATTTCGATTTTATACGGACGGTATGTAAGATCGCCTGAGCAGACTTAAAACAGCGAAATATACGATGAGATGGTCTGCGCATCACGGTGAAAGTACTTGCGATGCGCAGACTTAGCGTTTGGCGTATTTTGTCCATATATGTAATACTTCTATATTGGCAGTAAGCTAACTTCTCAATGTGTAAGCTTTCCGAAATCAAAGCGAGACAGTCTAGTACAATTTTTGTCAATGTATTGTGTACTTGAGTGCCGTTGTTGTATATGTGTTGTGTACATGTTTATTTATAAACGTATGTGTTCCTTTTCTTTCGTACGTGTTTACTGATATATCTGTACTGTAGTGTTTTCGGACGGTACTAGCTCATACTGCCAATATAGGAGTATTACATATATGATTTTGTCTAATATGTATGTGTTTCCATTTTCTGATTATTTTAGTAAATTTTGATATACATATACATATGTACATATATTCCATTTAAAATTCAGGGGAGAGATTCTGTTACCAGTTAGCGACAACTTTCGGATCGCTATCATACTTTTTGATGCATGATACGAATCACCAATATGTCAAAAGTTCAATTTACTTGAGAAAAGTAATCGATTGGCACACAGCCTAACACGTTTTGATAGCCACTGTAGTGTAGGAATGTGATCTTTAAAAAAAGGTGTGTAAAGTAACAGTTGCGATCCCGTACGAGTCCGGACTAGTCAGAATCAGTCAGATTTTACTGGAAATCGATCCCGTACTCGGTTCTCTGACTATTGAGAGGACAAAAAAGAGAGAAAATACGGTTCTCTCTCTGTTAGAAGTTACCAGTTTTAGTCCGAGAATTTTTTGCTGGTAAATTCTGGCAAATGTGTCAAACGTGGCAACCAAATTGTAAACAAAAGAAAAGTGCACTCTGCTAATTCATGTTGAAAAGTATTTAATTACTTGTTTAAGTGGATTCTAATGAATTTGAAAGTACTTTTGGTTATTTACATGTGTGAGCTGAGTGTGTTTACATACAAAATAAGCAAAAATTTACAACCAAAATTTGGAGGTTATGTTGAAGTTGACAGAAGTTACCATTTTTTACTAGAAAGCGATCCCGTACTTTTCAATGTTACTCTCTCGCTCTGACCGAATTTTTATTTTTTGACAGTTTTACTAGTCCGAGTCGGAGGAATACGGGATTGCACCTAACATTACCAGTAAAAGATTGCAGCAAGAGCGTAAAACCAAAATAGAGCGCATAATTGAGAAGAGAAAACTAGCAGAAAAAAATTATTGAACACAAAACTAAACAAGTAATTTTTATTAAAAAAAACCGACTTCAACTCATTTAAAAAAAAATATATATATATATATGTATATATATATCTCATGATCCACTGATCGGATCTTAACCAGATTAGTATTATATATTCCGACGAACTGATAACCTCCTCCTTTTTTGGAAGTCCTTACTTGCAAGTCAACATTTTACAATTAATAAATGATTTTTAATTTTTACACAAAAGCATTTACAGTCCAGTTTATCATTAATATTTTGATTTTCACGCATTTTACTTTTTTTTTTTGTTTACGCTTAACCAAGTCAACAAATGGCAGCTTTTGACATTTAGTCTTGTTCTTCAGCTCTTCTGCTAGCTAATTTCTGGAATTCGGCTGCTGCTAGTAAAAATTTCACTAGCTAGAATTTGCAGCTCTCGCATATTATTACGCTCTTGCGTATTATTACGCTTTCGATTCAGTGCTCTTGCAAATTTTTTGGGTTATTATACACTTTTCCAGTAAAAATTTGCAGGTTCCTGTACAAATTATGACTGACTATTTATTACTATACACACCTAAAATAAAATCAGTTGCTGTTATATATTTAATGCAAGTGCTTTGTGTATGTACCATATTCTTATATACTCACAACTCCATAATTCACTAATTTCACAACTATGTACATAAATCATTAAATGTCTATTCTGTGAAGAAAATTGTGAAAAACAGCGGCATTTCTATAAATGTAGTGAAATTAAAATAAAAAGCAATGAAAACAGCCAATTATGTTAAATTGTAAACATTTTTTTGTACAATTCTATAAAGTTTTATTCGTTTTTTCTTAATATAATGCATTTTTTCATAGGCGTATATTTATATTTATAAATTTATCATATAATAGCTAAATATTAAACACAAATAAAAGTGTGTTATTAAAATTATTGTGAATTTTGCGTGCATTCGCGTGTTATTTTTTTTTTTAAGTGTTTAGCACTTTATAAAGTTGAAACGCAATATGTAAATGTTTTAATTATTTGCAGTTGTGAATTGCTGTGTTGGTTAGAGATAACTTTAATATACGTAGGTAGGTGTACACGAAAAATTTTAAAGTAAACAGTTTTATATACATATGTAAATATTCTGATGCTAAAAATGAATTGTTTTACATATACATACATATAATTTTGTGAAAAATACAGCCGTCAAAAGAAAAAAAGTTAAGTATGATTAAATATTAAATGCACATTTAAGTATGCACGTACAGAATGTTGTTCAAATATTCCTAAGCAATTAAACATGTTTTTGCTATTATAGCAAAAATTGTTAGAAATATGCTTCTGTGTATGGTGCAATTTTAGTTTTTTTTTTTGTTTGTATAGCATGCTAGTTAGCGAATAAAATATAAAAAATAACAATAATGCAGAGTTCATGGTATTAATGAAAGTAATGCTGTTTTGAAAATATCTATTAAAACTTTAAGCCAAGATTTTAACAAAAAACAAAACTAAAAATTTCCTGCAAAATTCTTACTTACCGAATTTATTTTGCTGCAAAACTATCATTACATGTGATGTTTATAAATTTCGCTACCGCTTTATAAGTCAGGCATTTTTTCTTTTAATTGAATTTCAAGAAAAATTTAATGAAAAATAACCACTGAACTAAATTGAGAATCCCATAAAGTACAACCGCAAATAATTATAAACACACTCTTTAATAATCACGCTATAGGGCCTAAATCTATACTTCTCAAAATTATTAAAAAAAAAACAATACGTACATATAGCTTCGCATACTTTTTCTATCAAAGAAAAAATACATAATTAATAAACATGGTATAAAATGCATACATTGCGTTCTTTTAATGTGTATGTATGTATACATATATTGTATATTTTTTGCATTTATGTATGTATAATATATAACATAAATCTTATGTTTTAAAATATTACAATAAAAATTGCCAGTGAAATTATTACTTTTCATTTTAATGTAATAATTGTAATGTTATATTTATAGCGGCTAAATTGCGTACTTGGAAAACAAATTTCATTTTAAATAAATTACGAAAAGTATGTTTTGACAATATTTTTAAACCAATATCAGTTTTTTATTTAAATAATTGCTTGAAAATGCGAAAAAAAACAAACAAAACAAAAAGATACACTCAGCGATATAAACGAAATGCATTCAAGGTGAAAAAGCGAATTTTAAATAATGTACTCTGTAGAAATAGATGAAGTGGCATTACAAAAAATTTCATAAGATCTCCAACTTTTTTTTTTTTAATCTACAACAAAACTACCAGTGAAATTATTACTTTTCATTTTAATGTAATAATTGTAATGTTATATTTATAGCGGCTTAATTGCGTACAAATTTAATTTTAAATAAATTACTAAAAGTATGTTTTGACAATAATTTTAAGACAATATCAGTTTTTTATTTTAATAATTGTTTGGAAATGTGAAAAAAACAAACAAAACAAAAAGATACACTCGGCGATATAAACGAAATGCATTCAAGGTGAAGGAGCGAATTTTAAATAATGTACTATGTAGAAATAGATGAAGTGGCATTTTCAAAATTAATGTATGTATTACAAAAAATGTCATTAGATCTCCACCTTTTTTTTATTTTATTGATGATACTCAGGAGGCTTTGCATAGCAAGAACTATAGTAGAAATGACTTAAGTGTTAAACTAGAGGCGAGATGTAAAAATACCAAGTAAACTAATATTTTTTTGGAGAGCCTACAAGACTTTTAAAATAATTATAGCATTTTTCACTTCTATTATTTAAAATTACATGACGGGGACGAGAACTCGCATGATTACCATTTCACAAGGAAAACCCGATGGATGCAACAATTATTACATAAAAAATCAAACAAAAAAATAAAATTTACTGCACATTTCTCTAACGCAAAACTTTTCTAAGTAATTCAAGTAATTTTTATTAATTAATTAATTTTTTTTTCCAAATTTCGACTTCTGAACACTTTTCAGTTGTTAATCCAAGCACAGATTTTATATGTACTTTTCCTTTGTTTGGTTGAAATAATGTTGCATGAGAAAAAGTATTTAGTATGTTTTGGTGCTTATATTTTACATGCTGTTTTACAATTATTAAATTTTATAAGGAAAACCGCTTAACTATTTTACTCCATTGCTGCTTACAAGTAACTTTGGGGCTGAAAGGGTTACATGCTATGGCAGTTTATTAAATATATTTTGTTTATATTTTTAACTATTGGATTTGTATTTGTTTGTAAGAAGTTTTTATTTGAAAGTGGTTGAGGTTATGATTTTTGTTTTGTTTTACTTATTTTTATAAAGTTTTAAGTTTATGCTTTTG